TTGAACTGGAGCCGGTTGTCGGATGACCACGCATAAGCCCCGTCGAGATCGCTCTGCAATACCATGTGATCGTCCGAAGTCCTGATGTCATGCCAAATGTTGACATTATCTGCAAATAGTAAGAAATTCGACTGCAGTACACTGCCAAGATTGTTAATGAATGTGAGGAATAAACCTTGCCCCAGTACCGATCCTTGAAGGACGCCACACTGGACGTCAAATGGGTCGGAAACGGAGCTGCGGACTCTCACATTCAGCTGACGTTGAGCGAGGAAATTGCCGATCCAACCGAGTATAGGGTCACCGATTCCATAGCTTTGAAGCTTGGGAAGAAGAATGCGGTGGTCCAAACGATCGAACGCTTTCAATAAGTCTAGGTAAACAACGTCGACTCCCACTCTGGCATCGGCTGACCCTGTCCAGCTTGCTCGGGCTAGCAGCAAGTTTGTAGTGCAGGATCGATTTCGGCAGAATTCGTGTTGCCGTGACACTAGGATGTTGTTGCTCTTAAGATATCCCATGAGCGCCTCTGCAAGTATACGTCCCATTAGATTGGATAAAACTGGGAGGAGAGTGATTGGACGGTAGTTCAAGGGCTTCGAACGATTACCACTTTTGTAAATAGGAGTGACTAGTCCATGCTTTCACATTGTCGGAACTTGCATTTCGTCGAGACAAGGTTGAAAGAACCGTGATAATGGTTCGGCAATGTTCATGGCTGCTGTCTTCAAGGCCTTCGGTTTGATGTTGTCCACGTCAGGTGAGCTGTGCACGCGCTATGACATTAGCCTTTTCATCACATTGGCTGCCGTGAACGATACGTGGTCTAACCTTATTGGCGATGAAAGCTGTATGAAAAGCGGATGAAATGATGGTTCACTCCGGAAAATATGGATGAAGTGTTGGCGAAGCACGTTGGCTGCATCTCGTGCGATTTGCGCAAGACCATCAGTTGCATGTAAAATCGGGATCCCGCGCTGCACTCTGCGGAGCTTGTTGACGTGTCTATAAAGCAACTTGGGATTTGTACTGAATTTGGTCGCTAAGTTCTGTTGATGCTGGAGTTTGTCTTCGCGGATCAACTTGACGCAGTGGTTTCGTTGAGTTGTGTAAGCACCCCAGGGCAGGCTATCTGGACAGACTTTGTAAGCGCGCCAGGCTGAATCCCTTAAGCCCATGCATTTTGTAGTACGGCTCCTCAGGAACGAATTCAATTGCTTCGCGCGAAGAACCTTGAATTCTGACGCAAATGCCACTAGCTCAGTCAATTGGGTGACGAACAACATACAGGCGACATCGGACGGCTTCTCAGCCAGGAAGGACCAGTTTGTTTTTTGAACGACATTGAACAGCATGTCGTAATGTGTAACGACATAGGTTTCCACGTTGTTCTCACTGATGTACTCCGAGTAACAGATATAACGAAAGAGCAATATCGCGTGATCGCTACGGCCAAGTGGTGCATCTATGGTCACGGTGTCGACTATTGGTTACTCTTTGGAGAACAAAACGTACAAAACAAAGGGTGTGTCACCGGTTCGGAATCGTTTAGGAGAGGTGACATGGTTGTAAAGAGGTACATCGAGAATCACCTCTTGTAAGTCAGCCTTGAACTGTTCGCTGTGCGATTCTGAAACTTCGATTGTATGAAGCTTGAAGACCTCCACCAAAAGGACGTGACTGTATGGTCGTGCCAGGACTCGTTTCAGCGCAGAAGCTAGGCATTTATCCATTTCCAAGGTGGACATTGGAGGGCCGTAAACTATTATCAGTAAACACAAATCACAACGCCTTAGACGAATATGGCACCAAAAAGAGCGTCGAGGACTTGCGTTTCTGGGTCCGCAATGACATCAACATGCAGGTTGGATCGATAATACAGGAGCATTCCCCTCCTCTGCTAGGTCAATCGTTTCGTATGGAAGTCATGCCAGGTAGTGTTATCTCAGCATCTGTGATCTCCGTGTTCAACCATGTTACGGTGACCATAACTAGGTTCTAAGGCATGGAGACCTGACGAATACGAAGTGCGGTTCGCTTGCTGAGAAGACCTTATGCATTGGCATACAAGCAGGTGAGGGCATCAATGGTCAGAAGCGTGTTTGTGAATTCTGGTTTTCGGTGAGGGTCTATGCCGGTCCTTGCGGGGTCGGCTGCCGGTCGTTTTTTGTAGGACCGATGATGCTGGCCCTAGGGCCAATTCAGGTTGTGGTGCAGAGTCCTCAACGCCAACAAGGGAGTGACCATACTGTGCTTCTTCAGTTGTCGGTGTGTTTTGGTATTGTTTCCGTTCTGAACTACACGGTGACAGAATTCTATTGGTAACTTGCTTGCTCAGTGGTACATTGTCTATCTGTGGCTCGGTGCCTATTGCCCTTATACGTACATTGGATGGCAGCAAGTTACGCGTTTTGTGCCACATTTTGATCGCATGTTATACCATCAGTTCGGAGTGAAATGATGCTTTCATGTTTCGGGGATTATACCATTTGTAGTTAGGTGATAGCAGTAACCTTGGTGTCGAATTAGTGATAACATTTTCGAGGGAGAGTACTTCACGAATAAAACGCCATTCATCCCAGTCATGCGCTTTGACCTCTAGCTCGCTTTGTGATTGGCGCACAGGGACACCGTGGACAAGGATAGCTTTTGGATCTTGTTGTTCACGGAAGTCATCCAGATTTTGTTTGCGTTTCTGGCGTTCACTCCAAGAAACATCTGGAAATATTCGAACAGTGCATGTGGTGGTACGGAGGCGAGTGGCTGACAAGAGAACTGCATCTACATCATTCCTGAGTGAGTGTTACCTGGAGTATCCGCGGTTTACTGTAGTGTACGGAGTTTGGGTGACGGACGAGACGCGTCATATTGACTGGCTTAGCTGGAACCCCTATTAGTTGACACGGAATCCCATTGTTTCTTGTCGTCTAGTAGCTTATCTTTTATGGTATTTGATCCGGATTCAATCACATTAGAGCATATAACAGTTATAGAATAATGATCTTGTTTCAGGTACTGCATTTTGGAGTGACCAGTGGTTACTTTCTTTGGTTAGATAACTGAAGGGGCCGTGAGTCCCGTGGTGGTAGTATCCACTGCTTTGGCATCGGGTGAGGTTAAGATTAGGTGAAGCCGTTGTCAAATGGGTAGCAACACGGACGCGTATGTTTTTGTCCCTTTAACACTCTTAGATGTGGCGCATCGTTCTGATAAAGAATGTGTGGCGAACGCATCTTTATGAGCAGCCACTAGTGTCGGGGTGGTTGACTCTGGATCGTTAGTCACATGTTCGGCCTGGTTACACTGTACCGAAGTGGAGTTTGATGTTGAGCATCGAATTTGAGGCACTGATTTGTCTGGTTCCTATGGGACAGCTTTCACGGCTGCTGCCTGCTCTACAATCTTTGTCAGCCTGTCGTACTTCTGCACCAACACAGTTATACATCTGACGAGTGGAAGAGACGTACACTCAGTGCAGAACCAGAGAATCAGTCGTACGATTAAGCCTTTTTATCTGGCTGAGATTAACGCGAGCACATCGAGAATGGAAATATTTCCGGCAGTTTCTGCATTCTATTACAAAGCGTACAAGTTTTACGCAGATGGGTACGCCACAACTAACGTTCATTTCGGAAGCTTTGAGGTTAGCTTTCCGTGAGCAACCAGTACGTGTCAGTGTGACTGTCAGAGCTGTGGAAGACGTTCGCTGTAACCTCTGTATTGGTATGCTGAATCCAAACGCTGTGGCTCAAGCTGACGGTCTGGCAGACATCTGTTCGATTGCTGTAGAACAAATCCAAGATGGCGGACACAGACGGCAGTTGGGCCAATCAGTGAGATCTCCGACAGTAGCCGGTGAATATCCACCAAATTCGCACAGATCGAAAAATACACCGAAAGCAAGGTACTGGTGCAATATTCGCACAGAGGAAAGACGTATAACACAGTAATTCCAAAGCAAAAGTAGAATATAACACAGTAAAGTAAACATCCGCGGCGTCCGTGGGTACAGATAAATACGAATTCAGTTCATGTGTCCAGTACTGGTTTCCTAGGCGGTGTTTGGAATAAAGCAAGTGGTGATTCCGTTAAGAAGAATATCCTTGACACTACGTTTCAGGCAGGTTTTCGGTTGACTTTTTCTCAAATAATCGTTGCCGAGATATGTAGAAATAGAACACTTCCGGTTCGATGGGCTATCCGTTAATGAGGAAGTATATGCATCGAATAGTAACTGTGAAGCTTCATGATCAAGTAGCGGGGTTCACTTTTCGTGTTACTTCAGACGAAGGTTAGCCATCGAATCGATCACGAAGAAAATGGGGGTGGGTCGCCTTGAAACACTGTCCTCCACTACGCGTTTCGACTTTATCTGATAATATCTGCTGGAGATACCAGGCCTGAAATTCGGGACCATTGGGATTTAATTGGGACCTATACCTCCTCAGCCAGCTACTCAAAACGGGCGACGCTTCTCACAATGGTTAATGGTTGATGATAGGGTCAGTTTGAACTACTTATGAGACTGGACTGCCGTGCGCAGTCGAGGTTTGGTTGTTAAAAGGATAGAGTACCGAACTAACAACCTAATGGTCCCGAGTTCAAGGCTTACTATCTCTACCTTATGACATGAAATAAGGTCGAAACACATCGTGGAGCGCTGTGTTTTTGAGCGGGCAACACCTGAATCCATCCGTTTCAGCTGCGGTCCTAATGGTCGAACTGATCAAGGTTCACTTTTATGCGAATCATGAGTCACATTGAGATTTCACGTCGTAGTCCAACTACACAACGAGTAATTCAAAATGACCCTACAATCATCTACGTCAAGTGTACTGCGTTTCCCTCCGGCAATCAGTATAATAGTGATGCAAACACTGTGTTAAGATGATTGCACCAAACCATTTATTCGTTTAGAAAAGCTTGGGGCCTCAATATTTATATTACTTATCCGCAATATAGAGGTAAGATAGATGAAAGATAGAAACACAAAAGAATACCTTGTGAGTTTTACCATTCCGGATGTACTCCACGCCGATCGCCCGCTTTCTGTCAAGTATTATTCTTGTGACCAAAGCTTTCGTAGTCACAGTCAAATTCGGCCGACGCCGACAGACAGGATGCAAGTAGGCCACCGCAGTGGAACAGCGAACACCATCTTTGATGGTCATGTCGAAGTAACCGACTCCTTCCTGGATGAAAGAGAACAAGAAAATAGGGCAAACTAATTCTCTAAAACTGGAACCGCAGTGGCGAAAAATGAAAGTTTTCATGCAAATGCGAAGCAGAGAAGTGTGGTCAAGGCATCAATTATCGGTGACCCAAGAGAAAATAGCATTGCATATAAAATGCTCAGTGGAAGCATAGTGAGTCGCGGACCAGTCACAGAGATAAAGTACCCTTGTGCCCTACCTTAAAATCCAGTAACCTAGTTTCAGAAAAGGTAGGACACACATAGGTGCAGCGCTAGTGATAGTGTGAATGCGCCCAACGGTGGTACCTTGTGTCGCTCTCACACTGAAACTAGGTAGGAACTTCTCCGGCTGTATACCGTGCTAAACATACCTAAACCACCCAGTGTAGTATGATCGTAACTACATTGGGCGTTTAGCCCATGTAGTAGTGAGTGAGTAAAGTAGAAAAATCCGCACGAAGGTATGAACGTACGGAGCGGGACTCTTTCGCACGAGCAACAATTGGTGCATAGAAGATTTTATACCGCAACCAATGTGCATGGCATGCCCAGGTACACAAATGATTCTGCACAAGTTGGATTCCCTTAGCGAGGTTTGGTCTAATGAGGTGCTTGGGGCCTACAAACATTGAAGTACTTTTTCAAAATGACTGGATGCACTGGTAGCTCGGGTTGATTTCTCCTGAGTTCACTTGTTCGCCGACCTTCCTAATTGGGATGCAAACGTTTCATCAACAAACGAGGTGACTTCCTCAAACAGCACGGTCTTACAATGGCCCACAAACCAACTGCGACATTGAGGAGAAATCTGTCGAACCCCAAAGCTAGACCCGGAATACGCGAAAGACGAAATGTTGTCTACAAGACATGATGTCAAGATTGTGATAAAAATTATATGGGTCAGACTGGAAGATGACTGTTAACAAGAACACAAGAATATAAGTGAGCTTGTAAGTACCACTACACTCTCTCACTGGTTTCAGTACATAGGGACGAAGGATATCGCTTCGATTGGAACAACACAAAGGTCCTAGCGAAAGGAGAGACACGAAAAGGAAGAGAGTTCCTTGAAGCATGGTACTAGACGCAGTATTCGATAAACGTGCACATATAGATTGATCCAGTGTGACAAACGTTAAGACGGAGGGAACTAAAAAACCATTTTAAAAACACCGTCGTGGTCAGCTAAACGAGCCATCAACAACACATCAGCAACAGCCGGGGCAAAACCATCCCACGGATCGCCCGTGTCTATCAGAATTGGGCAGACCGGTGAAGCTCACGGGCACAGATCGAGGAGGTCAATGCAAAAGTCACTTGCTGATGGATTACAAATCGACGAACAAGTCAGTGGATTACATTTGACCCAGCAGCGCACTGATGAAGTCACCTCGTTTGGTGAAACGTTTGCATCCCAATTACGAAGCTCGGCGAACATTGAAGTACTTTGTTTCACCCTGAAGTAATTGGCGATGGATACATTTTCCGCATGTTTGCTCGAAGCAACGCGCCATATATCTAATTCTTAAGGAAATGCATCCACTCGGTCTGTTCATATATGTACGCACTAGTCCGTTATGGTGAATGCTAAACTGCATACACGTGGTCTTTGTCCCTACAGCGCAATCGCATTCTCTCTGTTCTTGTAATTTGCATGGGTTTATTCTCTCAGTTACCACTGCACACATGTGTCCTTAAAACCATGCGAGCTGGAACAACGAGTGCTATTTAGTGCACTCCATCTGTTGGCACTAATTAGTGAGGATCCTGATTATCTCCACACCGCAGTTTTTGCATCCTTTAGGTAAAAACATGGGTGCGCTATTCTAAATATTACGCAACACAAACAATATTGTACTCTTAAAAGAAATCTAACTAAGACCTGCAAAAGACTGTCGACAGCCAAGCAAAGGACCGCGATCTACACCGCGGTTTACAACTCAGAGCAACTTAACAGCGAACGACGCAGTCGCGTAACTGACCCGCAACGCCTAGGGACGCATCAGACGTGCTACGGACGCAGGGACAGTATACCCTGAAATTGAGGCGTCTAATAGACAACCACGCGCGCTGACCTTGAGGTTTAGTCAGTTGCTCAGCCAATGAGCTGAGAGTAGTGGACAGGCAAAACACGTTGCGGAATAGGTTGTAACGACCAACCAAAAGAAGAAATGCCTGATGCTGTGGGCTGTGGGCTAGCGTCATGACAACAATTAGGCGCAGACAACAAATGTTTCAATTGATCAGCAGTTTTACTCCGAAGTTTGGTAGGCTTAAGCAAAGGAAGGTGAGGCTTTATAGTAGCAGATCAGACTCCCCGTAGTTTTGTGAGGTATGTGATCATGCAGTAGTTAGGATTGCAGGTGAAATATTTCAGAAATGCGATGGAATGCTGGTTACAATTATAAAAATGAGGTACGCCAAAATGGATTTGCTGGAAGCATACATGGGAGTATACCCCTTCAGGCCCGACGAAACTGACTGGCCGTGAACATCAATCAGTGTATCAACACTACCAGTGGCCCAGCTACGCTTAAGCCAACCATTTAAAGTACGATTGGAATAAGTACGACCAGGGCCTCATCTACACTCCAAAGTGGTCCGAAATCTCAGAATGGCGTTGAAAGGAGTGATCATTGAAACGTAGTCGCTGCCAAGTGCACTGGTAAATTAAGGTCTCCAGTAATTCTCACTCGATCCAAAATATATGAAGGAGAGGATCCCATAAGCCCACAGCCAGCACTGATTGCATGTAGGTCTTCAGGACGGTCGAGCTTAACCAAAGTTGCAGAAGCAGTTATTAGGATACCAAATAGCGAACTTTCAGGAAGCTGCACGAATGTTATTGAAACGATGTCACATTGCTTAAAAGTAAGACAACTCGATGACAAGCGCCAGTGGAACTTCCTGTATGACATCTTAGGTGTTGTAGTTAAGTCCGCGAACCTGACGCGAGTTTCCAAAAATCAAAGCACTAGGGTAAACCGAGACTGCTGTGTGCTGTGCTGACTTCCGCCAAGGAAGCAGAATACGTTCTGCTATCGACAGCCCGTCGCTAAAATTATGGAAGCGACTTTATTATATATATCGATACTCCTGCAGGCTAGTATGCTGCCAATTTCTCTGGGATTGCCTTGTAGAACAAACTGTTTGTCCTTGAAGGGTCGAGTTTTGCGATATGGTAAACTTGTTTGAAACCAGTCAAAAGCGGCTACGATGGATTTTGTTTTATGCGACCGCAGTTAAACGTCATTATGCGTGTTTCAAGCTTAAGGAAATGGCGGAAAAATAAATCAAGTGCGCGGTGTTGTGTATTAGGTCAGCATGCTTGATGGCTAGCCTAGACAGACACGTGCACACAACCCCAGACATACACACATAATTGCCTATTTCTCTGCTCCCCTATTAGTACATCCTTCTCCTTGCGACACCTTGATGTACTCACGTAGTTAGACACTTCTCAGATTATAGTAGTTTGCTTATCGGAGCGGCCGTCTTACTTCGGTTCGTGCTAAGTTTTCGTATCGTGGCATCGCGGCTTACAAACCTACGCCATGGATTTACAACTTCCTACAGATTACCTGTCTGATTTGACCTACCGAAATTGTCCTACCGAAAATGCATGGGCCCAGTAGAAAAAATCGCTTACAAAATATCTTGACCTACTACCTGCGGCTTCTAACTACACAGAAGGCCAGAAACTGAAGGTTCACAGACACCTACTCGGTGCAAGGGACAACGTCAATTTGAAGCTTTGGAGCTCTAGCTTCAAGATACCTTAACGAAAACACTAGATGTGCTGGACAAGTCATGGGGCCAGGGTATAAACCTCTTCATTGCTCGCCTCAAATTCGGCCGACTTACACAGGAACCATTGGGAATTCTAGACAGTTTTGATGATCGCCTCATTCGCGGTATAAGACCCTGCGAGTATCCAATCAAACCGAAAAATAGAATCGAGAGCGTAATGCTAGTGAAGCAGCTGATTAGTGGAATCACCAACAACCGAATTCGGGAATGTCTACTTTCCGAAGACGCTTCCAAATTGACATGGGATAAGGCTGTGGAATTAGCTCGCCTCAAAACATGTACGGCCGAACAGTTGCGATGTTTCGCCACCCACGCAGACATACAGGAGATTGCCAAGATCCATCACTTCCCAACTGAATTTCAATCCCCACAGAAATGCTGCCGCTGCGGTAGCCTACAGCACAAAGCCAATTTTACCAAGTGCCCTGCTTTAGAAATGGATTGCAAAAAGTGCGGTAAGCGTGGATATTTTGCCCGTTGTTGTCGTTCAGTACGCATTCCACAGTTGTATCCTACAGATTACGTTTCTAGTCAGCAGTTACAGTCCTCTGAAAATGTATTTTTCATTGATAACACCGGTACTGTGTCTATCGTTCCAATTGTCCAGAGCCTGAATTACCTATGACTGACATTCATAATGTTACAGTTATTGCACAAGAGAGAACAACACATGTTGACATGGAACTTGATTGAGCCTCCCCTAGCACTATAGTACTGAGTAGTTTTTATGACATTCGCCTACATGACATGCCTATACATCATTCAGCCCATCAATTTGACAGTCATACAAAGGCCCGGTAGAAATTCGGGGAATGTGGTGATTGTGCTGCAACTTGGGGCCGTGAAATCATCAGTTGCTGTGTACATTACCCGCGGAAATAACAGTCCCTTACTGGGACGCAACGCTATGGTTGGGAGTCACGCCGTCCCTATCTCGTATGCGTATCATGGCAATTAACCTATCAGACCTACAGATACAGTACCCGAAACTGTTTGAACAAACAATGGGGCGCGCTCCCTCCTCCGTTCACCGCATATGTCTGAAGCAGGATGCTAAACCGGTAGCTATTGCTCATCCACTTCCAATTCTTTTGGCCAGAAGAGAGGCTGCTTCGTCAGCATTAAGGCAAATGATTGCAGATCTCATTGAACACAATAACAGTTCTAAATGGGTCCACCCTATCGGTACAG